GAATTTCTAAGTATCTTTAGACACCACTGACAAACGGTGAAAATAAACATCGTCGGAAAAAACCTGGACTTATATATTTAATATATTTAAAATCCATGACATTAAATGTTATGCCGCCCACCGATACATAACATTTAATACCTGGACTTATTACTTACTGATACTAATTTCTATTTATAAAGAGTGCAATCTTTAGCAATTCATGCTCAAACTTTCTTCGTGTGATTAGAGGCCTTTGCTGAGCAGTGGGCACTTATAAGCTGATGATGTGATAGAAGGGCAAAATAATATTTGTTCCATCCCTGCTATTATATAGGGTGTTGTAACAAATACACACTCAATAAAAACAAGGCAACAGCCCTCTCTGATATGATTTAACTCTAACCCGCCGGCCAAACGTGGTTTCTATTCAAATCATGCAGGCTATTATCCAGTTGCAGATGCTAATAACAGGGTCGGATAAATTGCTAATACAATCGGCGATATACTATTAGCCTTCTCTCTATGACAAAATATTTCGAAATCCAAAAGTTCTATTAGTAAAACATGCTCGTGTTCGGACAGAATATCAAATTTCGCGTTCAACAGTTTTCAAAATATTGCTCTTTTAAAAATAGAACGCATTCGAATAAAAAGTGAAAAGAAAAATGAGCAACAAGCATAGATTGAATTAAAAAAAATCTTCTCATTTTTTAAATGCAAACGTAACGACGCCATACAGCCAGTTATGCCCAAAGGCAACAAGCCGGTGGGATATAATCAGGAAATATTGCCGGCAATCCATCGTATTTCCCCTATCCCTGCGATCGGGGTAAATAGCAACACCGGAGCAACGGTGTTACCAGATTGAAAAATTGCTAAGCATCCGTTCAACGTCGGCCATATTGATTTATTTTTGTTTTTTATTTTCACTTAACGGATTTGTCGGGATTAATGATTACATTTTCGCGTGTCAGTACTTTGATGTAAATTGGAATTGGTTCATATTTATGATGCTCTATAACAGGTGTGTGTGTCTTTTCTGTGATCTTTTATAGATGGAAATTTACACATATTTACACATGATTTCTTTTATCTGTCTTGAAGTTTATAATTTATTTTCTCACACATTGTATTATTTTTCACATTGTCTGGACTTGAAATATTGAAGTATTTCTTCTCAGAGTAGTCAGATAGGATATCATCTAGTTTTATTTACGACCTCAGAATACAGACCAACTGTATTCTGAGTTTTAGACATAATTTTGACACATAGAAGTATTGTTTTTGGCCTATTTGCAAAAATAAATTCATTATTTCAATGGACGCAAGATTCTGACCGCGAATTTTACATTTAATTCGCAGTTTAAACAATTTATTACCTACCTATTTTACTATTTCTAAAAACAATAATTTTAATTCCAAAATGACAAATAACAAATTTGTGTAAAACATGACAATGACGATTGGATGATTCAATAAATCAATAGTTTCAATCGCAAATGTAATTGCTTGCTTTTATGTTCAATGCCATATGACGCATAATTGTGGGAAAGGACCAGACGTGATCAAATCGAATGCAAATTTATATCAGATACTACGTAGGTACTTGATAAAGCCTACAAAAAGTAAAGAGAGTGAAAGAGACTGTCAAGCTAAATAAATCTTTTTTTTTTTGTTTATTAATCACCAAGAATTGAACTTTGAAATGAATAAAAAAAATTTAGTTTCATGTTTGTTCTTTTCAATAAGAATTTAGATTCTGGGAGGAGCAAACAGATTCGATACTAGACTAACACCCGGTTTCTGAAAGGCTTGTCCACGCTAAAATTAACTAATCTCCTGTTAAATCTCTTGGTTGTCTGAATTATCAACAACCAATCAGATGACTTGACAAGAGATTAAATTGATTTTAACATTGATTGGCCTTTCGGAAACCGGGTGTTATACTTATCATTTCATAATTTGCTTTGCATGACGTTCTAACGTTGTAGTCTTATAAATGAGATAATTGAAATAAACCTGTACCTATTTACCTTTCAGGCTTCTAATAAGTTCAAAATTGAAGTTTTAGCAAATTCTCGTACATAAACGTAACAAGCTTGTAACAAGGTTGTGGGCCTATTTATTATAAGGGAGGAAAACATCCAATGACTTTGCCTACTACGAATAAGGCAAGAAGAAGTGGCATGTGTCTTACTGACTAAAAACCAACGAATTTCTTTTCTTCTCCTGAGCCGGACCACATTGTCATTGTGCTTAACCTCTCGCTTATCGGTATATGAGACACAATAGAAAACACATTGTGTCTCGCGTAGATCTGCGCTCGCATATCACGGGTTAAATCGGATCCTTGGCCATTCATTGGTTTTAATAGACCTTATAAGAGCCTGGTTGAATGTCGTGGTGGCCCGGAGGTTACTGGCTGCCTGGTACCAATGTGACTTTTTCCGAGTTATATGTACTTTCTATGACTATCGAGACACCACTGACATACACGGGTGAAGGAAAACATCGTGAGGAAACCTGGACTTGTAATTTCTAATTATAAGTTTGAAATCGCCAATCCGCCTTGAGCAAGCCTGGTGATTAATGCTCAAACCTTCTCCGTTTGAGACGAAGCCTTTGCATAGCAGTGCACACTTATAGGCTGATGATGATAAGCGCCTGGTCCTGTGTACTTCAGAAGTTTGCTTTTGCTATTATCTTTACAACATGCATTGATTATGTTATAGCTTTGTAACGAAGCACGCTCCACTTTTTAACCCATGTAAACTTAATTTGTCCTTGTTGCGACAAAACAGAAACAATAACATCAATAACAATAATTATTTTTTCAATTAATATAATGGCTTCCGCTACTCCAATTGAAATAAAACAATTTTTGTTCAATTTGTAATCTATACCATTAACGAAATTAAATCATACCTATCTACAATTTGTTACATTTATTTTGAAACGTGTTTTAAAGTTGTTGAATTTTTTTATACTAGCTTTTGCCCGTTACTTCTTTCGCGTAGAATTCGCGCTCTTCCTGCAGAATTTTGGTATAAAAACTATCCTTGTCCTTTCTCGAGTTCCAAACTATGTCTGTATCAAATTTTACAGAAATCGGTTCAGTAGTTTAGGCGTAAAAAAAAGACAGACAGAGTTAGTTTCGAATTTATAATATTAGTTTGGAAGTGTAATATGATTAAAAGACTTGGATCTTGACTTTAATATCACTCTCTCGGCCACCTTATTTATACTAAAAGGATGACAATGATATTGACAGTTCTAGTGTGACAATGATTAGTATGACTAATTACAGATAATACAATAGGATGATACCAACATAGAAATGGACAGAGACTATATTTATCACATCACTTTTGTTAATTTATTCCTTACGTCCTTTGTTGACTCATGCCTAAGGCCTTTTTCTCCTAGTCGATCTTTATGTAATGCAAAGAAGAAAGTGGCATGTGATTAAGTTCTCTTGATAAAAACGCTCAATAGTAATTCAATAAATAATAAAATCAATATCTAAAAACTTCAAAATCCATCAAAATATTCATCTTATAAAAAGGTCATCTATTAACATAAAAAAACGTTAAGATTTAAATGAATTTGCCGAATGCCAAGACAATGTAGGTCTTATCCTATCCTATCCTTGTTATTTTATGAAATCCGTCATTTATGAAAATTAAATAAAGATTAAACCAAATGTCGTAATTATAGGTTTTGGACATCTTAACAATTAAAATCTTATCACCATGCCCATCAAAATTCAAATTATGTACAATAATTATAATGACAAATGAATGCTTATCGAGCAGAGTCGCCAATTCCCTTCCTGCTTAGTACTCATTCGATTATAATAATAATCAATCCACAAAATTACATTTACTTAGTCACAATCACAGTCGCGAATAGCTTCAATCTCAAAACAAACGGTTTACGAGATACTAATGGGGGCGCATTTAATTCCCAGCTTGAAATCGGATTAGTATTTCGACCTCAGTTATATAGCAGAAACATTGAAAAGGTCCACGTATTCATAATGTAATGAAAAAAATTTTATATGAAAAAAATACGCTAATCCATAGTCGTTCTAGAAGTAGCCTTTTCTGCATAATCACTTAAAGCCTACCAGTGATGAGATTACACACTAGACGAGAGACAAAATAAAAATATAGAATAAATTATGATAGAAATATTTCACAGCCGACTTAATCTACCGGTGTAAACGCGATCGTAGTCAGTTCGTAGCCGATTCGTAGCTACGCGTGCTACGTCGTAACCATTTCAAAACAGGGAAACCTTTAACTGCCTCAAAAAAATTACACAAATAAATAACGATGGAGCAAGCTGATGGCAAGTTGGAAAAAACATGTTCTACAACGCTTGCTAAAAGTGATTGGTTTTTTTGGAACTGTAAAAATACGAATTCAATTTAATAAAGTACCTTGCATCTGGTATTGCAATGTAAAAAAACCATCTATATCCTTCTGTATATAAGTAGGTTTACTGGTATCTTTATGCCTAGACATGGAGATACCAGTAATCTTACAGTTTTTAACATCATCAGCGTAGCGTAAGTGCACACTGTCGCCATTGACACTTAGAAGGTTCAAGCATAAATTACCATGCTAGAGACTGATTGATGCTCCAAACTTATAATTAGAAGGTACTATTTCAGAGTTCGATATGATATTTTCTTCGTCATTTGCCAGTAATGTCTAAATGCATCTAAAAAGTACAAATAATTTGGAAAAAGTCACATTGGTACTTGCCAGAACCCGCACACAGATACTTGAGACACCTGGGAGCCTTACTCCTGCGTATCACGACCTTACAGGGTTTTGGTTATATGAAATTCGCAGTTGCCTGCATTCTTGCCTCATGACAAGCCTGGGACAAAAAATTGACTGAGCAGAAAATTTCATTAATTAACCTTCTGTTATTTACTTACATATTAACAAAGACCTATACTCTAAGTAGCCTGAGCCTTTTTAAATGATAAATGACCACGTTTTATCATGGCAGACAGTGTGGCGTTGATCAAAACCCCCTTAAAAGGCCACTGGAAGGGGGGTAAGGCTATAATTTGATTACTGTGCCAGTTAAATGGAATCGTATAAAACAGCAATGAGGTTATTAGGTGAGCTTTGGCCATATTATTGAAGTTTTCGGAAATAGGGTCGATGAACTAGGTACCAATGGGTCTTTTAAAGGATTAGGTGAATGTGTTTAGTTGTCTAGTATTATTGGTGTATTAAATATAACGACTTACTTACGTGATTTGACTGAAAAAAGTTCTTCTTGTTACACGGCTGCTCGTGAATAAAAGTGTCTTTGTGACTTGAAACTAAAAAAAAATCCAAAAAGAAGTACCAGCTGTTAATCTTCTCTTTCTTTTTTGCTAGCCTACCGTCTCCCTTTTTTGCCTCAATTTTTACACTCTTTCAATCTTGGTAAAGCAATGGCATTAAATCTATTATTTAGTAGTCAATTAAAGTTTCATATTCAAGTATAACTATAGAAAATAATACTAATAAAAAAAACTAAATAAAAAATAACTTTTTCAACCAGGTATAAAACACAAAATGGGTTGCGGTTCATCAACTACAGCAGTTCCTGTGACGGAGGAGACAGCGAATGGAGCAGCGAAGACATCGAATGGAGCTGGAGTGAAGGGTCACCATCACGATGATCACGATGACTTGCCAACAGTAGTACTTCCTGAAACACCAGTGTTACCAAAACCACGTAAGAATTGTATAAGATTTTTCATATCTGTTTGATTTTTTTTTTAATTTCACTACTTTTTTCTATAGGCTTAAGGTAACACAATTATTATTCATTAAAGATGGAAAATGTTCATTTACTGCTACAAAAAAACAGAAATAAATAACGATGCGGCAAGCTGACAAGAAGTTGAAAAAAAAACGTTATTAAACGCTTGCTAAAAGTGATTAGTTTGTTTGGAACTGTAAAACAAGAATTCAATTTAATAAAGTACCTTGCATCTGGTATTGCAAGGCACTTTCTGCATCTGTATATATGTAAGTAGGTTTACTGGTATCTCTATGCCCGGACATACCAGTAATCTAACAGTTTTTAATATCATCAGCGTAGCGTAAGTGCCCACTGACACGGAGAAGGTTCAAGCATTTTCATGTGTCCCATGTTACTTTAGTCGTTCATCAATAACCGATAGACTGATTTATTTCTATGTAATAAAGGTAGTGTACAGTAATATCTTACTCTCTCTCTAACTTTAAATTGTTAAGGCTGTCTTCAATCCAAACTACTGTTACAGAAGCCATTTTTTAGAAGTTTAGGAACCATCACTACATTCTCATAATTTTTATTAGGAACCTCTCAAAACTACTCATTCATAGGACCCAGAAATTATAAAAGGAGCAAATGAGGCATCTCATTTTAAATACTGTTTCAGTCAAATTCAAACTCCTTGTCAACTTCGGGCAAAAAAAGTTTCTCAAAGAGCAATTTTTTAACCTAACCAGTCTCATTATCTTAAGTACCTAACTCACTGTCGAGGTCATTGCCCGTTGTTACCAAGACCGCTTTTCAGGTTTATTGTCTAACTTTGACGATTTTATAGCCTCCATAACACTTTATAACCCTAATTTACCTGTCTTAAGACATTCATTTGGGAAAATTTTGTTTTTCCATCAGTACACCTATTAAACACATACGGAATCTTCTTCCAGTGACTTCGACCGCTATACTATAGTAAAAAGTACCCTTTTGACTGCACGGTTGGTGCGGTGGCTGAGCAACTGGCTGCCGTGCAACGTGATGCGGGTTCGATTTCCGCACGGAACAACTCTTTGTGTGATCCACAAATTGTTGTTCCGGGTCTGGGCGACATGTGTATGTGAAATTGTATGTTTGTAACCGCACCCACGACACAGGCGAAATTCCTAATGAGGGACGTTTTTTAAAAAAAAGAAAGAAATTTACTGTGCTTTACTAGAACATGCTAAAACGTAGAAATGAAGAACTTAGTGCCAGTTTTGTTAGCAAAATTAATATTATACCCGGTATAAAACAGAAAAAGCCAACATTATGTCATCAGTCTACAAAACTTGTGAGAACTTTATTGAATAAATTATTAAGAAAAAAAAAGTATCTGGGTGTCATGTGTATGTGAAATTGTATGTTTGTAACCGCACTCACGACACAGGAGAAAATCCTAATGTGCGGCAACGTTTTTTTTTAAAAAAAACCCTCTATGTTTTATTCCCGACTGAATGTACATACATATATACCTGACTGTATGCATATATCTACCTCTGTCTGCCAAACTTCATTTAGATCCTCTCTATAATTTCCACTTAAAAGACTAACAAACATCTGTTCATCCTTATTAAATTTCACTCTTACATTATTAGTAAGATTTTTCATAATTGATTTCTACATAACCTTGGGTTTCACATAATTATCGATGACCAATTTAATTTTTTACAGTGACATTTCTTTTCACTTCACTGAGTGGTATCTAGCATAATTATGACTATAAATTTTGTATTTGTAAGAAGAAAAATAGAACATGATGTGTCAATGGGGACAAATTGATCGTAAGTTCCTTTTTATGGAATAGAATGCTAAAGATGAGACGGATTATCTGATGGTAAGCAAATACGAAAGGGCGCAAGTCTAGGACAAACATGAAGTCTAAGGCTTAGGTACTGTATCGAGCTAAGAATTGATGAGTTTTATCTTGAGCTGAAAATACTGGTAGCACAGGCATAAAAATAAAAGGGTATACGTTCATTTTACAGCCGTGGCCTTCGAGATTCCAGTTGAAGAGTTTGATGGTACGAAGCGAGCGTCCACTCCACCAGCTCACCTGCAGAGGCTGCTCCAACCAGTTCAGCCAGACATCAGCCTGCCTGATATAGAGGAAAAATTGGCTGAAGCAGAACAGCGGAGACAGAGCGTGTGTATTATAAAAATATTATGCTTATCTAAATAATAAAACATATATAGTTGTATTCCTGATTCAAAGTGAAAGTCAAAAGCCAAAATCATTTATTTCAATTAGACCCATACAGGCACTTTTGAACGTCAAACAAAATTTTAAAGATATAAAGTGTCAGCCGATCGGTCAGTCCTCTTAGTGAAGCTATTCGCTCGTTCCAAAGTGTAGATTCCGATGGAGAAGAACGAGCAAGAAACTCCATGGTTAACTAGTCAAGAAACTTTTTGTTACATTGACTGACTGTAACAAATTTTCACAAGTTTCTTAAGAAGAAGACAGTTTTTAAATACCAAACTAAAGTGTGCATAGTCAATAAGGGTATAAAAGAGTTTTCGCTCTGTTTTTGCACGAACCATCAGTCGATCCTATTTAATGGAGGCAGTAATATAGAAAAATATTAAAACAACTCAATAATAAATTATAGTTTGCGGTAATGCTATAATATATAATAATGTAGCATGTAAAATTGAATAACTGTGCCCAGTTACTTATAAAGTAATAATTTTTTCATAGATCTTGCAAGCGAGAGCTGCTTCTGCGCAGAAGAGAGCGCAGAAAATTATGAAAAATGTCCAGGAAATGGACAGATTAGATTCAGAACATGTAAGTTGGAAATTCTTATTTAAAACTATTAATATGTCCCGACACAACGATTAATGGTGGGATTTTAATGCATGACATCTTATTTATTATTTTTATTAAAACCTTTCTAAGGAGGAACTGTCTAAATTATTACTAAAAAATACTTTTCCTTTTCTTCCTTACAACGGCAGGTAATCGATTTAGAATACTCTGTTATCAAGAGTACGTACGGTGACCGAAATAAAAACTACTAGTTAGAAGACTAGAAGTTGATACACGCTGTTTTTTACGAGTACATAATATGGATGTTTTATTTTCTATTTTCAGGAACACTCAGAGCCTACAAAACACGTGAGAAACAGTTTGACCATTCCACCGGAGCCTGGCGTGTGTGAAGATAAAAATATTTGATAAACTAGAAACTATGAATCGTAATTAAACTCATTAAACTGAACCAATACATTTAAAGGATATTCAGTAAATCGATGAAGATCATAATAAACAAGTCAAATGCACTTTTCATTACATACATATAGAAATCAACTAGTTATATATTTTGTATTGTAATTATGACAAGGTTATAACAGTTGTATATCACACATTCATATATAAAAGTGAAAATTGTATGTGGCTATTCAAAATCACATCAACAGGTTATTAAGTGCCCACTGCTAATGTAAGGTTAATTGCCAACACGCTTGCTCAAGGTGTATTGACAATTATTATTTAAATTTTTTTATTAAAAATTAGAAGTCTCAAATTTTCTCATGATGTTTTCCTTTATCGATTGTTAGTGTCGTTTAAATAAACTCCTAAAAAAAGTTTGGTATTCTAAATACCATTGTTACGTTACGATTGCGTTGCCGACCTTTTGGGGATTAGGGGTTTGTGATTTTGATATGATATGACACGGTGCTGAGGAGACATACAACGCTGCGATTGTTTCACGCCGGTTTTCTGTGAGGCCGTGGTATCACTCCGATCGAGTGGACCGAATTAGACCGATTAGTGCCGAAGCATGGCTCTCTCTCTTTGTAATCCATTATTGGCTTTTCCGTGGCATACATAAGCCATTCCGCCTTTATTTTCTTCAAAATGTATCTCTGTTCGTAAATCATAGATGTCGCTGTGTTAAATCACACAAGCCTGGAACAATTTATATAAAAGCTCTTTCCTTGTACGCTTAAGAGAGGATAACTGTGCAATTTACACTGCAGCAACATTTTTGCTGAGTGATATTGTTTAAGTACCGTTTTTTTTTTTCACGAATGTTTTTTAATGAAAATTTGTTTGAAATGGCTTTGATTGTTATTTATGTAATTAGAATGAATGAAATATAGAATTAAGATAATTTTTTTAAAATTGAGGTTCGGTTATTTAAAAAAAATGCTTTTCTTTTATCGTTTGACTAACATGTGGCATTAAATACTTAACGAAAAAAAATACATATCTAGCTTATATTAAACGCTTAAACAATAAACCGTAAATAATTTTCATCTCCTATCTCTTTTTTTTATTTTCTAACAAATAAATGAATCCATTTATTTCAAACCTTTTAACTAAACCTAAATAGTATATTTAAAATAACGAGCAATAAAAAGTATCCATAGACATTTAGGCGGTAGCTAGAAATATTACGATAAGTATAATATTTTATACGAACCATTTCATCCCGATGATAGCCTTTAAAAGTGCATAAAGATCTTGAAGAAGTGCAATTTTGCTGCAAAGTACTACTAGAGGTTGTCGCCCAGTAAACGACGGAGCATCGTGAACTGCAGTGCATACTAAATATCATTTTAAAAAACGTAGCATTGAACAGTAGTAGAGTAGAAAAACAATTACCGTTTTTTTCCATTAGCTTTTTTTTTGCAAAAATACAAATTGTTTTTCTTGTTACAACTCCAAAGCTTTTCTGTTCGGAAAATATGACGGTTATTTATTCCTTTTTTAATGTGAAATATTTTTTTTTTACTTTATATTTTTATTCGAAATGGGCAGGCATTTGGCCGCTACCATGTCTAGTGGTAAGCGTTATTGTTTTACCATTCGGGGAACACAGACTCCGGTAAAAAAAATCCAGTCCAAGCAAATCGCTTAGTGCATGTGGATGGGATATCCATCATGAAGCAATGACGTTTTGCCGGGTGTCTGGTGGTACGACGGTGGTAAGGACTAGTACATAGTTCCTTAGAAGTTCGATATCATATTTTGTATTGTAACATCGAATTAACAAATTAATTAAAAAGGTTTAGTCGGTCTAAACACAGTCAAGCATGCAATGGTGGTCAATGCAATCATATTAGTCCTCTTAACAAATAAAATAACATTATTTCATTAGGCTAGAAACCGCATACACATAAACGCAATACATACATACATATATAAGTTTAATACATAATGTACCTAGATAAAATAATGCCTTTAATGCTGGAAAGGTCAAATCTGTGAACAGCCAATTCGGTTGAATTTAATTCCGCATTTGAATTAGCCTGATTTTTCTCTTTCGTAGGATAGATATACAACAAATTTTCGACCTTACTGGCTGTTAATACAGTTTCCTTTCAAGCATCAATAAGTTAAGTTACGTGTATTTGTGCAATATGTAAACATTTACGTGATAATTTGTGATTTTCAAATAAAAACCTTTTCAAATATAGTAATTAATTACTTTATTTGTGTAATTTTTATATATTATTTATTATAAGCTTTTTTTTGTTGTGAGGGGTAAATCATCGAATGACTTTTATCGAAAAAAGAAGTCTTTGCTCATATTTTTCATGGGATATGTCGCCCCACTCGAACCTATCGGAATCAGCTAAAAAAAAGAGTTGAAAAGTGCATTGTTGACTTTTTGTAAGTTGTTAATGCATTAATTGACGATTACGATTGTGAGGGGATTAGGACTCAAAGTCAAAGTTAAAATCATTTATTTATTTCAATTATACCCATACAGGCATTTTTGATTAATTATTATGTTTACGTGAGTAAGCTCACGTAATAATTTGACGAGATACTCGACTAGTTTCAAGCCATGCTAGAGGCCCATATTCATGAGCAGCATTCTGCGACACGCGACGCGGAGACTGTCGCGCTGCTATTGGCACTACATCATTTTTGATTGTCAAACAACTATTGCTACTACATCATTTTTGATTGTCAAACTAAACTTAAAGATAAACAGTGTCAGTCAGTCGGTCTGTCCTATATTGAAGCTATTTTGCTCGTTCCAAAGTGTAGATTCCGATGGAGAAGAACGAGTAAGTCCATGGTTTCTCTTTTTACATAAATTTCATATTAATTCAGTTTCTTTAATACATTGTTAAGTTGGTTCGATTATGTGAAACCTAAACAGAGGCTCAATCCTCCCCGGGTTGGACCTTCGCTAAACTCACTCACATGTCGTAACACAACGACAAGGTTGTTTTACACTTGGTCTGTTTGGGGCGGTAATATAACTCCGGTGAAACTATTACATACGTACATCATCATCATCATCATCAGCCTATAAGTTCCCACTGCTGAGCAAAGGCCTCTTCTCATACGGCGAAGGTAAGAGCATTAATCACCACGCTTGCTCAATGCGGGTTAACGATTTCAAACTTTTGCCTGCAACTCCGTTCGCTTGGAATAGTGACTTCCTATAGATTTTTTATAAAAACTATCCTATCTCGAGTTCCAAACTATGTCTGTACTAAATTTCACAGAAATCGGTTCAGTAGTTTAGGCGTGCAGAAAAGACAGACAGACAAACAGATTTACTTTCTTATTTATAATATTAGTTTGGATTTGGATTTTGTAATTATTAGTTTTCGTTAAACTTAATCTAAGAACGAAGTTGATTCGGTTCCCTATGGATATTTTATGTGTATTGCAAAATGTGGAACTGTTCGGATTGTTTTAATCTTTTTGTGAAATAAGTATTTGAAAGTTAAATTCAATTGATGGAACGTGATAGGATAAGCTATTATAATTGTTGCTTTTTCTACTTTAGTGTATAATTTTTTCAAAAAGGTTTTACTCTTTCTACCCCGTTTCAGTACCTACATACTGTTAATTGTTAACAGTAAGAATCGGTGTTTATTCTTAACCGCTATTGCTCTTAGACTGTAATTTTATAAATAAATAAAATTAAGATTTCTTAAACAACAACTGCATCTCCTTCGAAAACTGAACATAACCTCACAGCGAAACATCTCCAAAAACAAAACACTACCACATTAGTGCATGCAACTACAAAACAACAAAAGAACAAATGCATCTCACAATAATATTTAAGAAGCGATTACAACACGTCTGTACTCTGTAGCACGAGGCACTGAGATAAATCTCTCGGCTCCCACACGACACGAGACTGTATGAAGTAAATTAGTTCGCTTACCAGCTGCCCCTTCGAACTGTTACAACTTAATTACTTTACTACGCTCGTGGGTATTGCGGCTACGAGTGAGGTTATGTTGGGACTTAGTCTGCTGTTTGCTAAGAGTACATAGATGCTTTATCTTTTGCCTTCAAATGATCAATGTCTGCGCTACGTCTGCCCGGATGTTTTGTTTCAGTAACATCTATCGCCATCGTCGCCTATTAGTGCATTCAGTTGAGCCAAGCTCTTCTCATACGAAGGAGAGCCATGCTTTGGCACGAATGGACACGCTCGATACTAATTATACCACCGCCTCATAGAATACCGGCCAATACGTACGTTGCGTTTTACCGTGCGACAGAGGTTACCGGAGGCCCAATCCTGCCGATTTTAAATTAAGCCAAAGTGTATGTGTGGCTCTCAAAAGAGAATGTTTAAATAGTTCTATTAGTTATATCATTAAACACCGTGGGGATAAAGTATGGAATATGATAATAGAGGATTTGTGATCAACATTTTTCTGTTCTGTACTTTAAAATATTGGTGGATATCTCTCAACTCATTTGTCTTCCTAGAAGAGATTCCATATAGGAATATGCAGTACATATGTACCTCTGTCTCTGTATTTGTTTTCTATTTACTGTATGTGTGATGTCCATAAATAATAAATACATAAATGAATAGGACAAATTAAACTCGATGCAATCCTTGTTCTTATAAGATACCTAGACCTAACCTAACAATGATGGAACGTTTGTAAATAATATAAGAACACAAAGCCCAAATGGCCATGTACACTACACACGTAGCTCTGTGATTTCATAGTATCCAAGTATCTCTTAGTGAATAAATAATAACATACAAAGATTGACCCACTGAGAAATAGTTAAAGTATATTCCTTTGTTCTTTTTCAGTGATTTAGAATCTTCATTCAGCGAGGTTATTTAAAAAGCAGATTATAAAATTTCATGTCATTGTCAAGTCTAAATTAATAGTATTTTAAGGACTTTTACCAGAGATCCAATAACCCCCCCCCCCCCCTCCCCT